TGCGATCCGTGTCACTTTGTGAAATATGTGAAATATGAGACGCTGTGAAGTGAAATCCTCCGACTTTGATGGATTTCCACCCGAGCACTTGCCTAAGGCGTTTTCCCGTTCGAGACAGCTTTCGATATGAACATCTGACTAGATTTCAAGGCCACGGTATCTCCACTCTGGAGAAGGAGCTCCCCTCGATCAGCTCGAGATTCCAATATGAATTGGCCAATGTGAGGTGAGAATTGGGACGAAGGGAAGGGGGCGTGTGAAAGCTTTCTTCGCCGGGAGGGAAGCTACTGAGGGCCAGGCACACACAGGCACCACGCGGGAGCGGATGACAAGGGAAGCATCACACCCCATGGGGAGCGCGCACAAGGCAAGCACAAGCTTGGTCTGGTTCCAGTCCCTTTCGACTGCTGCTCCCGTCCGTTTAGATTTTGCGTTCGTGCCCTTCCCGCTGCCCCCATGAACCAAACCAACATCTTTAGAAATCCTGGGGGCCTGGCTGATGAACGACGGGGCGGCCCTTCACGATCCTCCTCCTGCGAACGTGTCGCTCTCACCCACCCCCTCACTCACTGCCGCCAGAGGACGATCTCACTCGAGCTCCCGACATGCCAGGCCCTTTGCCAAAGACCACGCAGCACAAGCACACACTGTGCAGTCGAAGTGAACCCAGAATGAAAAACAAAGCTCGGTCTCCGAGGCTCCGCCCGCCCATTGGACCGTATGTCCTTATCTCTCGCGATCTCAAGTCTGAAGGGAGGGGCCTTACCCCCGAGTCGTGCTCGTGCGTCCGAACACTAAAAATTGCCTCATCGCCCAGCTTGCCCGCTGGTCCGCCCCTTCAAACAATGACGAAAACTCAATTGAAACTCCAAGGAAAAGTGAGAGGCCAAACTCTGCATGCCCTCTGCATTTTACCTTACGCTTCAACTCTGATTCCTCAACTTTGGGAATTTTGGAAATGGGAGATAGACATGTGAAATGCCGTCCGTGGCGATATGATTGAACTTTTGGTCCGATCTCGATGACGGTCATCCGCCCGCCATCCATCCCTGGGAGAGCGAGCGAGCGACAGCAAGCAAGCTCGGCCGCCCGCCCGTTGATCGAACGTACTTGTTGTTTTCCTCCGACGCCAAACAACCCTCTCTCCTTGAGTCTCTCCTGCCCCTCGCCTCAGTCCGACGATCCAGTGACTGACCCCGCCGTACCGTTTCGTGAAAGGCGCCAAAAAATCCTGCTCTTATCGTGGGATCCGCAATCATCGTCGTCTTCGGGGGGCGCTTGGGAAAAGGTGGCCAACTGACCAGCGGGTCCCGACCCAGGGGTGCTCCACACAATTCCCATCACGACATTTGCTGAAATCGGGTCTACGTACCCATCTCAGGCACCGTTTTCGTAGTGTGTGTCCATCTCACCGTTTTTACGTAGTGCGCTGTGTTGTGCTGCGGCGCAGTGCACCGAATCGGCCTCACGATGTGTCGTTGAAATAATGAGATGTAGTTGGGAGGATTACTTAATTCCGAGCCGGGGGGGCTGGGGGATTTGGAGATGTGATATACCCAAGGGAACGGTAATTGACAGCTTTCCCCTCACGCAGACGTCGTTCGATTTTTTTGAGACCTGGGCTGTTTTTTTCCTGCGCGTGGCTCGTCTGCGCTGTTTACTCCAATTCTTTTTTTGGTGAGGAGAAGCGCAACCGAGAGCCGAGGGCTTGGGCCGGTGTAACGGTCGCTCGCTTCTGTGCAGCAGAGGATGGGGATCCACTTTTCGATGCCTGTTCTGAACGTGAAGAATTTGGGGGTCTTTGTTTTGACGACGGCTCTTGGGGGTTGTGGTGTGATATATGGGATGGAGTTTTGAGGCTTTGGGAGAGATATCGCGAGATTTAGGGGAGGTCTGGATTGTGTTTGATATGAAAGATAACGTCTAGAGACCGTTTTCATGGGCTTTTGCAAGGGAGGGAGGGGGCTTATGGGGCGCGAGTCAGAAGCGGGATGAGTGCTCCGGAGCTAGGTATGGCGAGGGACGGGTGTTTGGTCACGATGGCACTTGGGAAGAAGGCCAAGGTGCTACGGAAATGAGGTGATGTCAGACTTGGATAATAGTTATCCGCGTCTTGCTGGCGTTTCTGGAAGCCTCAGTGACTGGCCCTGACAAGGTGTGAAGAGGCGTTGTTGGCACTCAGGAAACCGTTATGAGGAGGGCTGTCGTCCTCAAAGTCTGGAGAGACGGGGTACCAGACTTTGAAGCTTGCCCCCGCCCCCATGGGGAAGCAGTCCCGCAAGTTCGTGAGGTGACTGTGGATGCGTTTGCCGGGGAAGGGCATGCTGTGGAAAGCGGACTATTGAAGCACGGGATGACTCGGGATGGCGACTGTGTGGCTCTCGTGACCAATTCAAGAAGATAGGCTATGGGATGTTGCTCCATCCATTGCCTCCCCCTGTCTTTATATTCTCCGGCATTCACGCTTGATAATTACATGAATCCGCCTGATGTAACTTAGCCAGGGTCTTGAATTTGGAAGCTACCTATCTGGAGCTGCGAGATAACCCTGAGAAGATAAGAAATTGTTGGTTCCCAAGCCATTTAGAGGCTCAGCTCAAGTGTTCCCGTGATTACTTAGAATAGAATCAAGATTTTGCCTACTTATCTTGCAGACACAAACTCGAACTTTCCCCATTTTGGGCCGCGGTGTGTCCGGTGATCCCACAGCCCACGCAAATAAATTCGAGCATTGTCCCCCTCGCGAAATTCGGAGCAGCAGACTGCGTAGTTGCTAAATACCCCGGTAGTCACCTTTCCTTGATCGTTCTTATAAGTCCACTTTTTGGAACTCCACCTATTCTGATCATCGCAGCACACAGCCACAGAACCTGGCTCGGTGAAGTGAAACCCATCCTGGCATGGCTCTGGAACGAGATAGATCAGGTCTCTGGTCCATGTCTTGGAGTCCAAGAAGTCCCTGACGGTTGCAGGGGGATTGGACGTGGTGGATTCGTGTGCTTTGCCATCATCTGTGCTCTTTCTAGTCGCCTTGTAATTTAAATCTATGAAATCGCGCAGGTTATCTGAGATTTTGCTGCGTTTTGGAGGTTCGAATTCCAAATCGGCACCGGGGATGACAGCCAAATCATCTTCAATGATGCAATAGTTTTCGGGGCGGGGAATCCAATTGAAGACCGAAGAAGAGTTTTGATTACGAAGCACTTGGGTTGCAGTTCCTAAGAGAAACGCGGGAAACCTGATAGCGGTGATATCTTGCTCGCACGGCGTGACAGGCAGCCTATTCGCTAGGGTCCGCGTTGTTTCTTGGTCCAAGCCCAGGGGGATCCGGTCGTCAAGCCTCAATGTCAACTGCTGGAGGCCATCGGACGCCCAGTAAGGTGCCCATTGTGGTCCCTGGTACTCATCAGGTAGTGTATCTTGTAGAGCGCAGGTTCTGCTGAGCAACTCGGGCAGTCCAAATCTCTGCGCAATCCAGATCGCGACAGACGCATAAGTCTCTGCCGTTGATTTTGTATAATCGGCAACTAGACCATCACTCTCCGGACAAGTAAGCAAGCCCAGCAGCGCAAATACTTTATCTCGTGGATCTGATGCTTGGCTTCCACGAGTCGTGTCCAGTAGCTGAAGCAGTTTTCTGGGGTCTCTGAACTCTGGTGCACGGAAGCCCAGTACTGGCGGCAGTCGGTCCAAGCCAGGAAGGATCGGGTGGTATCCTGAGTATTCCAACAGCCCTATACGCTCTAACCTATGAATCTCCATCGATGGCCATGGTATCGAATGTTTCCCACATATCAGTGTAGCCCGCTTCGCTAGAGCAACTTCCTGGAGGACCCAGACTCGGGAGAAGTATCGTCGTTGGAAAAGCCGACATAGGGCTTTGCGCATTTGCTGAAGCAGATCGCAGTCTTCGGATAATGACTCATCCTGGCCAGAAATGAAGGCAAGGACTTCGTCCTCTTCTTGACTTGGTTCGCCCAGGTATATTATCACAGAGTCCGCGCGAGAATAAATTTGCTGCATGAGGCGGACTTGGTGGCCTCTCTCTCGGATGTCCTCTTGGTTGATGCAAATGGCATCGATCCAAACAGTCTTTGGACCAGACCGACTTCTGACACGCCTCAAAGCTGCCTCACAGTTTGGTGTCACTGCAAATCTCTGAGAGTTTAACTTGATGTGCCCGCTTCGGTCCATATTCTCGTCTTCTCCCGCCCAGGTGTAAGATATAGCATCGTATTCAAGGAAGCCCGATGTGGTGGTCAAGCGGAGAGCTCCACGCACTGGACCGTCATATCCACCTGGTTCCAAGGTGAGCAGCCGCATGTCTGTGTTGTTTTCCAAGGTCTGATAGATATCGCCATTGATGCTCCCGTCATCGGGGCAGTATGCTTTTGGTTCAGGCTGAACGGAGCCGCAGCTCAAGCAACTTGAAATGCCGCCGCTGGTGAAAACATCCAGCCTTCGACAAGATGAGTCGTGCCATTCTGACATGTTTGACGCTTGATTGAAACAGCATGTTCTGATGAAGTGAACATGTCATCATTTGATGTGGTTGTCGCAGTGCTTATGTAGGTGGTATGTCAGGCTGCCTCGAGGCGGGGTCATGTGAGTGAGCTGCATGCCGAGCCTGACTGGTTGACCAGCGGGAATTTTAGCAGACCATCGAATCATATCCCAACAGGTGTTCATGCTGTGTCATCAGTCACTCAAAACTCAGAGGCATGTACGCGGGCGACGTAAAGAGGCTAGAGAAGGCAGTGCACAAGCGCCAAGTCCGAAGTCGTGTCCCCGACGCATCAGGTTTTTCTGCTTCGCAGGCGACGCCTCTTTTCAATTTTCCCTTCAAATGAATTCGCTTGATGCTCTGCGGCTTGACACACAAGAACAAGCTATTTTTTCGAAGTATCATGCTCACTTGCTAACTAACGCCTTTCGCTCTGAGAATTGACAGTAAAGGCGGACCAAGCCACCCAACAAGCAAGCATCCTCCAACATTACGCCTATTTAGCACAAACGAACTTAAATTCTCCTGTTTTCCATACGCCTATGTGGGAAGTCCCATCCATGTACAAAAGTCCCTGCACACGCTCTGGCCCATCATCGTCACCAGCCGCGCAGAAAACTGCGTACTTGCTGAATCTGCCCCTCGTTGTCCTCCCGTTCACTCTCTCATGAAGCCACGTGAGTGATTTACCGTTCGCAAAGACGGACACAGTTCCCGGGTGGGTAAACTGAAACTTCCCGTAGTCTTCAGGCTCTGGCAGAAGGTAAATACTGGCCTTATTCCAGCTCGCGTAAGCCTCTAGAGTCTTGAACGTGATCGGAAAGCCGTTGTCACACCGTGAATACGCCTCGCTCGCCAGACCAGGGAAATCTCTGTCATTCCTTAGAAAGACGAATGAATACGTCTCGGCAGCTCTCCTTCCATCGATGTAGTCGCCGAATATCTTAAACACCCATGGCGGCGGAGGAATATGTACATCCCTCGCTCGACCTATGACGTTTTTGGAGAACGACTCGTAGGATTCTTCGTCGTACGCCAAGACTTCGTCAATAACGCGTCCAAGTCCGAATGCAGGGAATCGGATCGCGCCAGGGTCTCTCTGGGACACCGTGATTGGCAACCCTGACACCTTAGACACCGAGCGATACTCTCTCCTGAGATGAGGGATCAACGAGTCCGGGCTTTGAAACGTGTCCTCCGTCCAGTTCGGTATCCATGCCGAGTCCAAAATGACTGCCTCGCTCACAGGTGCACGCCGGACAACATCAATAGCCCTCGCAAGGAGGGCCGGCAAGCCGAACCTCTGAGCTATCCATAGAGCAGTCGACGTGAAAACCTCTGCGGGTGTTTTGGTGTAGTCTGCCAAAAAGCCCTCGCTCTCAGGGCATGTGATCAACCCGAACACAGCAAAGACCTTGTCGCGTGGATCTGCTGCCCGACTGTTACGAGCTAAGTCCAGGAGGCGGAGGAGGTCGCCGGTGGTTCTGAAGGCCGGCGCCTTGAACTGGACTACAGGAGGCAGCGCTTGCAATCCTGGTATCATCCCATCCTCTGATACTAAGCCTGATAAAAGACCGCGAGCGGCCAAGTTGCTCACATGGACCAAAGACCATGACAATGTGTGGCTGCCGCACACAAGTGCTGCCTGTCTTGCCAGTGCAACTTCTTGGATGACCCACGCCCGCGAAAAGTACCGACGACTGAGGAATTTCACTAAAGCTTCCTGGGTCTCTTCTCGGTTACCCGGCGTCGAGTTGTGTTGAGCCCAGGTGAGGTGTTTGAACAGTGCCGGTATATCGCTGGTCGCTTCTCCCACATAAATAATGACTTCTCGCGCACGCGAGTATATCTGCGGCATCAAGCTGACTTGACGTCCTCGTTCGTGAAGATCGTCTTGGTTGACGCAGATAGCGTCGATCCACACTATTCTTGGTGTCCATTCCTGCCGAACCCGCCTCAGCACGGCCTCGCAGTTTGGAGTAACTGGGAAATCTTCCGAAGCGATAGAGACCCGGCCCGACTTGTCAATGATATCGTCGTCGCCTGCCCAAGTGTAAGAGATCGCGTCATACTCCTCATACCCGCGCGTTGTCGTTGTGACAGCGAGGCTGCAACGGACCGTATCGCCAAAAGATCCGGGCCAGACGGTGAGCAAGCGAATCTCATCCTCTGCCAAAGGCTGGTAGAATATGTTTTCGCTGTCGACCCTATGGCATTCCTCAAGTGAGAATGGATCGAGTTCCAGTGAGCTTTTCAAGTCATTGTCGGGATCGATGTCGAGCTCCGCCCAGAACTCGTCCCAATCCCCATCATCCATGATGGATCATGGCATTAGTTTATCGGCAGTTTGTTCACTAGATCGACACGATTATGTCGAATCATGCAGAAAAACGAATCAGGCTATCACGGGCGGGGTAACGCGGCGGAGCTGTGTTGCACATTCGTGCTGATTGGGAATGAGTAGTAGTGCTGCTCCACACGTGCATGACATTGCCTCTTTTTAACTGGACGTAAGATCAGCTGTATGTTACGTCCATTTTCTGTGAGCAAATCCTGTGAGCTTCGCATCCCCGATACTGAAGCCTGATGAGCAATGCTAGTTTCATCGGCACGAGTTTGACCTTGTCCAAGTCCACACATGCTAGATTGAGTTGGTAACAAAAGCTCATGCAAATCCTAGGAACATACACGTATTCGATGGTCTAAAGCAAGCCAGTCATTCGTGCTGTCTCCCGGCAAGATCATCTGGTTGCTAGACATCAGTACCTGCGTGAGACTGAAGTTGATAGCCATCAAATGTGATTTGGTTTTATACAATGATTTATATATACACGAACAGATGTGTACCCCCTGAACCGAGGAGCGCCGACTCTTTCATCACGCCGGACCACTCCTCCCCACCCCCAGCAGAATCCGCTCGCAGATTCGCTTAGACGCAGCTGTCGCTGCCAGGAACGAAGGTTCCATCAGAGTTCTCGCAGCCGCACTCGCCGGTGTTGGGGTCCTTGATGCATCCAGCGCCCTCGCCAGAAGAAGTTCCCTCGCCACTGTCACAAAGTCTTCGTCAGCAATCACGCATCTCCCACACAGTTCCTCCATCGAAAACTCACCTCCAGAAGAAGGTCCAGCAGTCCGCGTCAGTCGTCATCTGCGAGCTCGTGGGCGGGTCGCAGGTGTACGCGGAGCAGGTGCCGTAGGGGGCGCCGTTGTTGCCGTCGTACTGGTGGTCCGTCTCGAAGACGGCAAAGGTCTGCGTCTTGGAGGTGCGCGTGTTGTGCGAGCACTCGGCGGCCTGGATGGCCTTGGACACCTTGGTCGCGCTGCAGTTGTAGACGCTCGGGCAGGCGCCCTTGGTGTTGGAGGTGGCCGGGTCGAGGGTGGCGGCCACGAGGGCGGGGGCGGCGAGGAGGAAGTAGGCGAACTGCATTTTTGCTGTTGGTTTGATTTGTTCAAATGAAGCGAATGTCTTGTCAAAAGAGTGTGTTGTGTCTGTGTGGTCCGGCCTGTGGATTGTTGAAGTGGTGATGATGGTAATAGCAAGAGGCACATATTGGATCGAAGGAACTTTGACTTTTATATCATCTCCCCCCATCCCATGGATCGTCTGCTCTTTGCCCATTCCCCATCCTGTCAACTCCTTGGTTCCGAAGCTGCGTAGCGTCGACATGTAAATTAGCTCCCAGGACCCGCCGCGTTTCGAACAGATTCCCATCGGGCCATTACGAGCAATCGGGTCGCGGCTCCGGCATGTCCATCCCGCCCGGCCGGGAGACACCCCTGCCCTCCCGCCGCGGTCTGGACCAAATTTACGTAGTTTCTTGTGTTTTCGTCCGCGTTGCCTGTTTATATTATGTTTTGACACGAGGTTCAAGGTGCACTGGCAATTGCTTGAATTTTTTTCTCCTGAGTTTTCTGGAAACATGCCTCCCCCACAGTCTTCGATTTCTCGTGGTGGAGCCAACAGCAGTGTCTCGACCAAAAGCTTTGTGACGCGCCACTCCATCCAAGTTAATCAAACAAAACCAAACAACGCTCATCTCCCGAGACAACACCACCACCACCAGAGCACCCATCCTCTAATGATTGCGGGTGTTTCTTCTAGACCACCACGGCAGTTTGAAAGAAGCACAAATGTCTCGGAAAACCTGTCACTTCCCGCCTTCACGTAAGGGTCAGTCGTGCACCTCCCTCCCCCAAAACCCATTGTGGTTCATCCCAATTCCCCACACCACACCACGTCGCCAGCCCTGCTCAGGGGGGACTGTTGCAGCCGCAGCGGGAGATTAAAGGCGATCAGTGGGGTTTCCCGCTCCCTCAATCAACAATGCAGCTGGGGTTCAGCCACTGCCGGCAGGTTGAGTGGTTGCTGACGACGCGCCGCAGTTTTCAATTCGTTGTTGCAAGTCTGGATGAGGGCTATTTGTCTACGCAGGAAATGGTTCGCGGGATGGCTGAGGGAAGAAGAAAGCAACTGGCGGCTGCGGGAACGGGTAATGGCAGGTGATGTTTCTATTCTTGAAGTTCCGAGACTTTCGAGTTTCCCTTTCTTAATATTCAGGGAAAATTGTCTGGAGCTTGCGACAAGTATGAGTTGCAACGTTGCGGGACCTGTTCCCTTTGTCCATCGAGCTACGCGTTGTCGAAGCTCCTGAAAGATTCGTGTCATGGAGTCGCATTCAATCGCGGACGAGGTCGAGGGCGGCAAGGCAAGGCAAAAGCAAGCTAGTCCAGCTCACCGGTCGCCCTATCTTGGCATCGCAGCTGAACGGGCACACCATTGGGGAACGACCAGACCCAGGCCAATCGAATCGAGCAGAAGCATCGGACATTTTCATGTCGCAAGGTGCGGGGTGTTGTACGCAGCGGAGCATTGCTCAGTAGCCCTCCTCTAGGATTCTCGGTGAGCCAAGACGCCCGTCTCGGTGATGAAGCCGTAACCCATCCCGCCGGCTGCCTGTGTCTCTCTCTATATCCTCTTGGATCCGGTCCATCTTCCTCCTTCATCGCCACCTCTACCTCATATCAAGCACCACATTCGGCCCCTTCTCCCCCCTCACGAACCCCCTCAAATTCTCCCCCACAACCCTCCTGATATTCACCCGCGTCTGGTCCGCACACCACGCCAGATGCGGACTCAGCGTCAGATTCACCCCTCTCGCCTCCTCCCCCAGCAGCACGCTATCCGCCCCGCTGCCCGCCGGCTCGACCTCGTACACGTCCGTCGCGGCGCCGTACAGCCGCCCCTCCTTCAGCGCCTCCAGCAGCGCCCTCTCGTCCACCGTCCCGCCGCGGCCCACGTTGACGATGATCGCGTCCGGCTTCATCAGCGCCAGCTCCGCCGCCCCGATGAGGTTCTTCGTCTCCGGCGTGAGCGGGACGACCATGAAGAGCGTCGTCGCGCGGCGGAAGACCTCCTCAAACGGCGTCCTTTGCTGGGCGATGTCGCCGTTGGTGGTGTTGGAGCCGTTTGTGGTAGCGGGGGTGGAAGAAGGCGAGTCCTTGCGCGCCGCCACGAGAACCTGCATCCCCAGCGCTCTGCACATCCCCGCGATGCGCTGCCCGATCGGCCCGTACCCGACCATGCCGACGACCTCGTTGCCGCACGTGTGCGGCGGGCGGCCCTCGGCGTCGAGGAGGAGCGAGGACATGCTGCCCTTTGTGCGCCACGGGTTCGCGTGCGCGGGGGAGTGGTCCATCATCGTGTTGTGCAGCGCCACGAGGCGGCGGCGGGTTGAGAAGTACTGTTCCAGTGAGCATTGGTGTATTGATGATGAGAGGGTTGACGACTTACGAAGCCCAGCGCGTGTTCGGACACAGCTTCGACTGTCGCCTGCGGTGAGTACATGACCGTGACGCCGCGCCTCTTGCATTCTTCCAGGTCAATGTGATTTGTGCCCGTTGTTTCCGTGATGATGCATTTCCTGTGATGAACCAGTTAGCCTAACCCATCTCCTCCACCATGTTTTCAATCTCCCCGCCAACAACGCGGGACAGAGGAAACTCACAAATAAGGCGCCTCCCCCAAGGTCTCCTTGCTAATCGGCACCGTCGTCGTGATCAGGATGCTCGCCGGCCACACCCGCGCGGCGGCGACCTGCGGTTCCGACGGGCGCGTGTACTCGTACCCGATGACCTCGTGCGTCAGGTCGCCCGTGTCGACCTCCGGCAGCGCCACGTGGATCGTCTCGAGCTTGACGACGACGTGGTGCGTCGCCGAGGGCAGGCTCGCGGGGCGTTTTATCTCTGTTGCGGGGTCGGACATGGTGCTCCTTTTTCGTCCCTCTTGCACTCTCCTATTATCCTTGAGATTGGTTGAGAAGAAGACAAGTAAAATTGTCCCAGAGGGAGAATGCGACTTTTATGTCGAGCTGGACGTTGACAATCTAGCTATGATGAAGTTGACGCAAGGAAGTTGGTGAGCTCTGGGAGCTTGGGCGCACAAGGTGGTGGGGGCGGGCCGTTATGCAAGATGGAGGTTACCTCTTTCCCTGTATCCAAAGATCAAGAAGGAGAGCCCTTATAAAAACAAGTATCCAATTGAGAAAAAGATTAAAACATTGGCTATATACCGCGACATGAGGGGAAAATGCCATCTAGGGTCCTCAACCCGGCACCACAATATGTCTCCCGCTCCCTATCACACGCGCTAGGCCCCGCGGATCCGACCACCGGCGGGCGGGGGGCACCAAGATCGGCCCTCCGCGCATGCAAGCCGTCCACCGCAGGGCGCGGGCGGCACTTGATTATTGACATTTTGACGTTTCGCACGTCACGCAAGTAAGCACGCCTGCGGGAAGGATCCCAATCCCGGGGTCATTAGCGGCATCGATACGACGACATCCGTTTACCCTATCTCGAAATGTCAGATCCGATCTTGACATCCCGCCCTTTCGTAGGGTCCCGGCTGCGGCAGGACGTCTGCGGGGAGGGAGGGAATTCCGCACCCCGCGGAAAACTTGCGATAAGACAATGTACCATCCTGATGATTTTACAATGTTGGGTTCCAAGGCACCCACAGGTATCAACTTTTTGATTTTGGCATCTCGAGGCAATTCCGCCCGAGAGCAATGCTAGTAACACTTCCTGCACTAAACCCCTCCCATTTGCAAATCCAAGCAACCACCATTACCCGCCCCTCACCTCTTGAAGGTCGCGCTCTTTTCACCCCTCGGAGGCGGCGCCTTGCGGGCCCCCTTCGGCGCATCGTCTCCCGTCTTGGCGTACGGGTCGAACGCCGGCTTCGCGACCTTCTTGACACCTCCCCCGTTCCGCTTCGCGTGAAGCACCGAAGCAGCCTGTCCGTAGTCGAAAGCCTCT